ATGGATTTACAGTTTTTTGCATCAAGAACTTTTACACTATTTTCCCAAGATGACTATAGGAACTCTTTGTATTAGTAATCACAAATTATAATTTAAGTATGACTGTTGCGTGTTTTAAATTATGTATTGTTGCACGTTGTTTTAATTTTTTGTCTGTATCCCCCTCCCTTGGTTGAGTTGTGAGCCGCCCTGAGTCCCCTTCGGGGGGAAAGGGCAGCATATAAATAAAATAAACAAACAAACAATAGTTACTCAAATTACCGAATTTTTCTTTAAAAATATCAGGCAGCCCTAGGTCATACTTAAATTATAATTTGTGATTACTAATACAAAGAGTTCCTATAGTCATCTTGGGAAAATAGTGTAAAAGTTCTTGATGCAAAAAACTGTAAATCCATTGGGCCCAACATACTTTGTTTCACAACAGCCAACCAATTACTGCTGGGAAAGCAACAACCAAGGCATAAAACTAGAAGTAAGTCCTCTCAATTGTTGCCTCCTAGTATAATGCCTCTATAAAGCAATCAGCACTGACTTGACGGTTGATAGGCACTCAAAATCCTAACTTCAAGAATATGGAGAAAGTGGGAAGGGAGAATTGCTACTCTTTCTTTATAAATGTATCTCATTTGAAGGTAAATAATTTTTGCAAATTGATTAACAGTTTATAGCAGTGTTATTCCCCTTGCTTGGCTGGGGAATTCTGGGAGTTGAAGTCCACACATCAGAAAGTTCAAAAAGTCTGGTCTATAGTATTATATGAATGTGTACTTACGCGTATTCATTCATTCTGACTTTGCTTGGATTAAAAGAGAACTGAATCTCTTGAAGCTCAGCTGTTTTATGTTGTAAACTTGTCTTGGAAGTTTCTTTTTTTAAGGATGGCCAATTTAGTCTGTAAAATACATCTTTGGAGAATTATTCCCTTTGTTTTTAGAATATTGTGAATTCTGTTTTAAGTTTAAGTTAAATTTTATAGACATTTGCCCATTTGCTCCATGTAGAATGCACAAGTACACCGATAGCAAATCATTAATAATTCTGGAAGATGACCAAATGAATTGAATTCTAGTTGCCTTGTGGATGTTCTTTACATCCGTTTCTATATGTATACGTCTTTGGTGTAAAATCTGATTATATTGAATATTGTATGTCAGGGTTCCAAGTAACACCCCCCAAAAAAGAAGACTCCGAGGCCTGAGTTTCCTCAAAATTCCATTTTATTAGAGATATCATATTGGCACTGAAAGCTTCCATATTTTCCCCACCCAAATGAAAGTTTATGTCCCATCCCAGCACCCACATGTCCATCACATGATCCAATCAGACACCATCCAAAACTGGAGATGCCACTCAGTCACCTCATCGCAGCTACAGGGCAACATGGCCTTGACTTTCTGAGAAAGAATGTTATTTTGATTGTATATCACTCACTCTATATAATCCCCCCTCACATTTTCTCAATGTGGGAAAATGTGGCAGGTCTGAAGGCCCAAATGTAAAAGATGGCTTCCATATCTGACAATTGTATATGTTTGTGAATAAACTCATTTGTGGATGAGCCAACCCTCACATTTCTAACTTTTAAAATACCACAAAAATTGCACCACCTACAGATAAGTCGATCCTTGAATTTTTTGTGTGTTTTAATTTTTATAATTGACTTATCCAGGAGTAATCCCCAGCTTAGCCATTTTTCATGGTGTTATGTTTGAAAATTAAAGGATCAACTTATTCAGGGATGGGCTTAGAAGTGAATTTATTTCTATATACGTTAAGAAGCATTACTGCATATTCTTATGGATAAATCCATCCGTGGATAATCCGAACCCAATTTCTGGAGTATATTTTGGTATCTAAAATTCTCAGCTTATTCATGAGTACATGTGTTTGTCTATCTTCTACTCATTCAAGAAGTATGCAGGCTGATCTCATTTTTGATGCTCAAGAAACAAATGTAATCAAATAAAATAACATATACCTTTTTTTTCACTGTGGGATGAGAGGAAAAAGAGAAAAATAGAGACATATTAGTCATGATTGTTGAACTATATTCCTTCACAGAGCAATATGGAAAATGTTTCAAAACTAATGACCATGTTCATATCTTCAACACATTATCTCAATTATTTTGGAAGTGCTTCAAGCTTCAAATAGCTCAGTTTTAAGGACACAAGAGTGAAATCTTCCAAAATGGTTGAAGCAGCCCAATTCACATTCAGGATAGGAGATTTCCACTCCAGAGTCCTTTTAGATGGAACAGACAGAGAGACAGCAAATTCAATGAAGATTGCAGATTTGAATCTGGGATTGCCTTAGTCCTGTACCACCACATTAACCTCTTTATCACATGATTAATTTTGTGGTAAATAACTTCGCTGTCATTATGAGATTACTGCAGCATGCTTCAAATCATACAAGAAAATAAAAGGTTTTGCTTTTGCCCTGTCTCAGTGTGTGCATGTGTCAGAAAAACCCAGTCATTAATCTTGTTGGGTAGGAATAATCAAAATTGTAGGCCAACATATCTGAAAGGCATTGGTCAGAGGCTCGGGTTTGTTTGTTTTTTACAACCTGATATAGCTCTGCTATCTTTATAGCCACTGCAGCTCCCTTTCTCCATAGTTACAGTTTATGAAGTGGCGCACATCCAGGCTATAGAGTATTTTCTCTAGAAGAGACTTAACCTGTAATTCCATTCTGTGCCATCTTAAACTCAGAGCATTTGTTTTGTGGGTGGACAGAACGGGGGGGGGGGTATACTTTAGAGAGAGATTCTGTGAAATGTTTTGCCTGGCCTGGATGCATTTGGAGCAACATCAGATCTAAAACCCTTCTTCCTCTGTTAATAAACTCTTCTTGCTTTTTTTTTCCTCAGTGAGGACAGAGTCATCGAACATTACATTAAGAACAAGGGGCTGACTAGAGGACAAGCGATTGTTCAGTAAGTGTTTTATTCAGCTCTTTTAATGGTATGTGGGAATGACCTTGGAAGACAAGTCAATGAGACACAACCAAGGGTTAACTGATAAAAGGCTGCTTAGCCCCCCATAGCAGGAATGTGGGGTGGGCAAAAGGTGCAGAAGAAACCCTCTCTAATTTTTAGACTCTAAAGAGAGGGAGGAGAAGGCCTGTCAGACTTGCAAGATTCTGTTAATGTAACCTTACCCAAAAAAAGTAGAATTGCCTCTTCTGGTTGTGTTTCCTATCTGGTTTATCTCATAAGGCAAACTTCTATTAATGGGAGAAGTTACAGCACAGAACAGATTTTAGCCCTGTTTGAACTATTGACAACTATTGTGATTGAGGCTGACACTTTCTGAGTACAGTAATCCATGTAGTTCCAAAGCTTGTTTTGGTCCTATCTCTGCAACCCTGAGGAATTGAGGGAATGTTTTAGACTGCCTCATTATCTTCCAGCATATTGCTCTTCTTCCTCCATGTCCATGCTATCCTCTCACTTAAGGTTGATAGCATATTTATCCACTTAACAATGCCTTCCAACCTAGAGATAAACCAGAAACCAATCCATCAGCAAAAGTTGTATAAGCAAATGTATCCTATGAGTGGATGCTTAATGGATCAGGCCTATGGGATTCAAACATTTTATTGTTCAGATTTATGTCATGCACAGTATTGGAATACGGGAATGAACTTGGGAAAAGGCGAGGAAAGAGATGGTACCTAGGAAATAATCAGATAACAGAGGCAGCAGCCCCCCATAGATTAACAGTTAGAAGAAGAAACTGCCCTAATCGATCAAACATTTAAAACTGGAGGTGAGAAGTTTTGTACTGTCACACTTGCAAGATTTATGTAGCCTTACAATAAAAGTACATTTAACTCATTTGGTCTTATTTTCCTGTCTGGTGTACTTGGGGAGGCTGACATGCACTCAAAGTGGCCAAGTTACATTTACAATGAAGCTGATTTAGAAGAACTGAACACTCCCAAGAGCTAAACTTGGATAAGAATCTAGACTAGTATTGAAGAGAGTTCAATTGCTAGAATTGAAGCCAAGTTCTTGATGGAGTTCAGTTGTTATAACAAGGGAATACTTTCGGGGAAGTACCTGGCAACCCCGAGAGCTTCAGAGGGATTGAGGGCAGAAGGGGGTTATAAAAAAAAAGCCTGGTTCTAGTTTAATAGTCTCCTTTGAAATGTTAACTAGTTTGTTGCTGTGCTTGAACTTGTTTGTACACAGACTATTAATCTTGATTGATGCTTTATATAATTAAAGCATCTAAAACATTTTGATGTGAAACCTAAAATTCTTCCCAGTCCTTTTGTGAAGCAGTTGGGCAGTTTCAAAATTAGGTAGCTAGAATCAATGAATCCAAAGACATCACTTAGGTAATGTGTATTATTGGAAGATATTACTGAAGAAGCTGTATATATGTCCATGCAGGTACATGAAGTTGGTTGAAGCTCTGCCTACTTATGGAATCCATTATTATGGAGTGAAGGTTAGTGAGTACTGGAAAACAAAACTGAGTAAACTGTTTGTTGTATGCATTTTTTCTCTTCTAATAAAAGCAACTCATTTGAACAAAATGAGATGCTCTCATGTTCTAGTGCCCCATTTAAAGACTTTTAACATTTTCAGCTCAGCAATTTTTACCTTTCTCAGATCATGAGAACGTTTTGGATCCTCGTCATCTTTCATTCTCTTCAGAAACAAGTTCTTTACTCATACAGCTGTTTGTGATTTGGCTTCCCTGGATCCACCTTGAGCACTTTGAGTGGAGTCTGCGTGAATGCAGATCTTATACTTAGGTTATGGTTTTCAATAATCATTCATCAGATGATCAGGAGATGGCAAGGACTTTGGCTTAAGGTCCTGGAGAATTGCTAGTCATAGGAAATAATGAAAAGACTACATGAACATGGAATGTCTTTCTTTGTTTTTAAGAAATAACAAAAATAGGGCAGGAAGGGCATTGTTAACATATTGCAAGATTTAACATGTTAATTTTTTATTTAGAATGCCTAGCATACAGTATTTAAGTTCCTATAATTTATTCAAGAGCGGTTTTTTTACTCATTCAGAGCTACAGTGTTAGTTGATTAGAATAATGCAAATAGCATTGTGCATCTCTGAATAAAACCTTCAGAAGCTAGTACTTATGTTACATTAATGGGGCTAGTATTCAAGGAGACGTACAGTTATATTAATAACAAAGCAAATAAATTCATGCCATCTAAAACTCCACTCAAACTGTAATGAGTTTGCTGAATATGTATATGAACAGCAACACTCCTATTCAGACATCTCTCCTGGAGCATAGATATCATCTGGGCATACTTAGGCTTTTCTCTACATGTAGATTGACCCTGCGTAGCGAATGAGCACTTTTTCAAACTTTTCAAAAATGTCTTCTGTTTCACAAATCTCCATTTTGAAAGGGAATTTAGACATCCCTTTCTTGAATAGTTTTTTTCCCCATGTTTTCCACATTTTATAGCCTCAGTATATTGTAGAACTTTTTCATTTTCCTGGAACGCTTATATTTACACCGTGGGTAAAAAATGTTGCAGAATAGAGTGGGTTAAGAGCTGTGGTGGCACAGTGGTCAAAAACAGCCAGCAGGCTACTTCTGCTGCCTGCCGGCTGCCTGCAATTTGGCAATTCCAATCTCACCAAGCTCAAGGTTGATTCAGCCTTCCATCCTTCTGAGGTGGGTAAAATTGTTGGGGGCAATAGGCTGACTCTGTAAACTGCTTAGAGAGGACTGCAAAGCACTGTTAAGTGGTATATAAGTCTAAGTGCTATTGCTATTTGGGCCTGATGGATGTGCTCATTTGTTGGCATCTACCGGTATTGAATAAATTGTGTCATGGCGGAGCAAAAGCCTTCCATTATTGAAAGTGCTGTTGGCAATTTCCTTGCAGCACAACTGTCAGTCCTTTAAAATGGGGCCTTAAACTGGGATATGGCCTGGAGATGGCATTTAAGCTATTAGATCTAAAGCCACTCTGTTCCCCGGGAGGATTACAATAACAGCATCTTATTTTAGCAGCTTAGAATGGCTTTCCAAAACTTCCCTCTAAAATAAAATGAGCAAAAATCACTTTGGGGTTTTTTTAGGGGGAAAAAGTAGAGTCAACTTCATACATAAATTGTGTTTGGATTCTCTGGTTTCCTTAGTTCTCCTTTAATTTATTTTTGCTGGTTTTGAGCTAGAGGTATTTGGTTAATTTTAGCCACAAACAATTTAATAATACAGTAATTTAGCCAACCTCCTCCCCTTCTTTTTGTTGTGCTTTTGATGACTTCATGGACAGGTCTGTGCATTTTTCTTGGCAACCTGCAGTAGTGGTATTCTCACTGGCTGCCTGCCAGGATGTTTTTCAATTTTTTAATCTAGGGATGAAAGAAAGTAACTGGCCCAAAGTCACCCAACTCTCCTTCATGCTTAAGGAAGCATCAGAACCAGCATCTCCTTATTCCTGGTCCAGCACTTTAACAAATATCTCACTAGCTCTTTTAACGTACTTTACAAAGTTACTTTAAAAAGTTATGGAAGTGATGCCTTATTTCAGGGTTCCCCAAACTTTCTAGGTTAGCGGTTCGAGGGGGAGGTGTGCGAATGGTCCGTGACGCTCGTGGCGATGGTAGCGGTCTCACGGTGACCCAAGCACACGCACTGGCTAGCCACTCATGGGGCCCAGTGGCCAATGAGCCACAGCCCACAGATTGGGAACCCCTGCTTTATTGTACAGTACTATGGTTTACTGTTTTGTTGCTTGAAAAAGAGCTCATCCAAAACCATTCCCACTGACACTGACAGGGCAAGCCACTACAATATAAACTGAGAGCAAACCTCAGTGCTTACTAGCACTGATTATGTTACCTAGTTTGTAATGAAATGTCTGCAAGAAAACAACCCAGCTCAGAGAACACCAAGGACCCCTCATTTCAAGCTTGAACTACAAATATTCTCCTTTATTGGATAGAGCGCTATGGAAGATGAAGTCTAGTGCGCTCACCAAGAAAATATGTCAGCCCGATATTTGCTCTTAAAATAAACAATAACTATTTGTGCTAACCTTGTGCTTTTTCACATGTGCATTTAAGGTAATTTATGGACTTCAAGCTGAATAAAGTGTACGTTTGAGTAAATACATATGGAACTGTGCAAAGTGTATACACAGCCCATTCCTTTCTCTCAACAGTTCAGCCTTATTTTGGACTTGTCCCTCATCGAGTCTTCTTTTACTGTTGCTGCTCACCTCCCACAGATTTTCTTCCATGTCTGCCCCACCTCTAGCCATGGTTTCAAAGAATACAGCAACTTCTCTTCCCTACTGCTCTGTGGCTGTTTGCATAGCATCTTCCAGCTGGGAAAGGAATAGCAGACCCCTTCAAACAATAAACCTCCTCTGTCAGCTGCAGGTGTGCTAACAAAGGGCTGCCTTCAATCTCCCTAACCTGCTTATACTTGTTGCAGGATGAAATAAAGAAACTTTATATCAACTCTGAAGTTTTTTGACTCTTGCTAAAGCCTTAGAACTTCTATTCTTCTCTGTCATAGGATAAACAAGGCATCCCGTGGTGGCTTGGGATCAGTTATAAAGGAATTGGCCAGTACGACTTACAAGATAAAGTCAAACCTAGAAAAGTAAGTCCATCTGCATATATGTGCATTTGTCTTCGTAATATATAAATGGAAAGGAACTATGTTGCGCCTTTTTTCCCCTTGTTATTCAGCAAAAGAAAAGTATTTCTTAATTCTAGAGCAGTTTCCCACAGTCTGACTTTCTCGAGGTATAGTGGACTACAGTTTCCACCAAGGTGGCCAAACTGGGAATATGAGAATTGTAGTCCAGTAAACATCTGGAGAACATCAGAATAGAGAGACTGTTCTGGTCTATTGAAATAATTGGAGCCAGTAAAAATGGTTTTAGAGTGAATGAAGCACATATTTTCTTTGTTTTGCATTATATTTTAATTGTGTGTATGTTTCATGAACTTCCCAGATTACTGGTCAGATGCCTGAGATGCCTCCCAGCAGGATTTAAAATAGTAACCTACTAACTTTTCTCCCCATCCTATCCTTGCAACTGATATTAAAAGATATTCTGTAAAGCAATAGGAAGATTCCATATAGCCATCATGAGTTCATTAATTTGGCTAATTCATCATGAAATCATAGCAATGGGTTCCATAGTTTAATGAAGTGTTGTGTGAAGACGTACATCCTTCTACTGCCAGAACACTTCACTGATTGACTCTTGGTTCAAGTATTATATGGCAGGGAGGAAAAATGTTTTCAATGTACTTCCTTTACAACACTGATCATTTTATATTAAATTCTATGAAATAGATTAGGAACATGTTTTCCAAGTTAAGTTGTTCCAACTCTTCTAACTTTTGCTTGGACAGAAGATTAGGTTACAAGGTAACTATTGTGATTGTTCCTGCCAAGTCAGGAAATCTCAACGGCGGTGTCTTATTTATGCTTCTATCCTCCCCACAAATTCCTGCTCTTCTCTGAAATGCTAAGCAGTTTTTCAAAACAACATTTTGTGCCTGCATATGAAACACAATCTCAATTGATGTATTTTCTACATGTGAGAGTTCAGGGGACAAGAGGTACTTGTTCTGTTCCATACAAAGCTTGTAGGACAACTGAGATGGGATATCTATACATAGAAATTGCCTCATCATTATTTCTTGAACAAAGAATAAACATCTGGAATGAATTCTGAAGACCTTGGGAGTAAACTCTATGCTAGCTATATGGAGAAAACTCAAACACATGTAGTGTGCCATAGGGGAAACACACCTTATGTGGTTTTTTTTTCTTCCCAGCCTTTTTGCTTTATGTTGAAATCCAAGCTGGAAGCTGCTTATTTTGATGTTCCTCTTGTCCTCAGAATATTTTGGGTTTAACAGCTTGTACATGTTTTCTTTTGATTGCACAATTTGCTCTCCTTGAAACATAAGTGACGCATATAATGGAGTGATACATCTAGTTAGCTTTCTAGAAAATAGTTACATCTTCAGGAACCCCAATGTGTGGGGAAGTAGATAGATCAGATCTTCTAAATCTGTTTTGTCTCCTGTCCTTGTTAACATTTACATAAGACAGACAAAAGTTTCTGTAAAATATGGGGGTTGGGAGTTACCAGCTCCTTTTCCCCCCAGATAGATGAGTGAATGAGAAAAGTGATTTCAATCCTGTTAAAATGTCATCCTGATGTTCAAGTTGCCTAGCAGATTTGTGTGCAGCCTCTTCTAACAGAGTAACATGATATATGAGAATCTTTGCCGCTCATGGGTGGTCCCCCCACTCACATTGTATTTTGGGGCCTCGTGCAGCACCCCGTGCCCGGTTTTGCTTCCAGGTTGGTGCAGGAGGCCTTCCAGGCCCAAAACGGGGCATGGTAGTGCATATGTCGCCCCCCCCC